CCCAAATTTAAAACATTGGTATATGAAAGATAAAAGACACATAAAGAAAATGTATTAGTTGGAAACAAAATTATTATGTATATAAAATTCAGGATTATCCAAATATACACCATAGCCTATATAAGACACTTAAAAAAATGAATACAGAGTATATCTAAAAATTGGATATTAGATACGTAATCAAACAAGAATACCCTATATTGTGGTGTGGTGTTTTAAAATACTTCCCTATAAAGGAAAATGAAGAGGAAGATAAATACAAAATAATAAAATATATATGAAAAAAATTCCATTTTAAAAACTATGAGAAGTACATAAAAATAAATTGAAACCTACATATAAAATATTAATATCCATTAAAATGGTGATATTTAAGATGATGTATTTTTAACAATACTCTGTTAAGTTAAAAAAATGACATAATTCGAAATCTAAATTTAAACCGTGGGGGGCTAGTGTATTAAAATTGAAAATTAATTTAATTTCTCCAGTGCCAATTTTTTCCTCCCCTCCAATTTCTTTTAAGCAATTTAAGTGCGCAGAAAGTGAGATCTTGTGGATTTTGATTATGATGATTTTTAAAGTGTTGGGAGACAATATGGGTTTCAATGCCTTTTTCTTACATGTTCTGATATTCTAATGTGTAAACACCTAATGGTTCTCCCAATGTATAGCATATCACAGGGACATTTTAATATAGAAATTATATTTTTAGAGAAACAAGTTAATTGTTCTGTAATAAAATCTTTCTGCGTAAACTTCTTAATATTTTTGACATGTCTCTTTAGTTTTTGTTTCCGTGTACGCTAAACAACTTCCACACCCATAAAAACCTTTATTGCTATTTAAAACATTATTTTCTTTGATGAGTCTTTATAATTACTACTCACTAACATATTCTTTACATTTTTACATCCCCTGTGTACAATTCTTGGTGCTATTGGTAATATATTCTCAAGAATTGGATCATCATGCATTTTTTAATAGCATGTTGTACTTTTCTTAAGATTCTCAAGGACTAAATTTCGCCCCAACTTCTGATTTTAAATCTTTTGAATGTTTTTATTGATCTTAATCGTTTTACAAGACAACTGTGTTTAAAAAAGTTTATGATAAAAAGGAAGTTGCACAGATAGACTCCACAAGCACATAGATACATAGTTGTTACAGACGCTCTACGGACCAGTATTGATTCTCTTTATTTTATGTTACTGAATGTCATTCCTTTCGGTACCCCCTGTTGTATAACCACAATTACACGAACCATCAGGACCTTATATTCACCCATACGAAGTAAAACCACCCAGGCCCTGGCGTGTGCCGCCACTTAACCTTTGTCACCTTTCAAACAACCGAACGGCCGACAACCGGGAACTTGCGGCTTGCGGTTAACCACAACGTAATTAATGGGCCCTAGGGTGGCCTTGTTCGTATACTATTTCTCCGCACTCAAAACTCCCGAGGACCTCCCTGTACTCCGACGTGTGTCCCCAATTAGAACGTTGGGGCTGCAGTTAACCGCAGACTAATTGCTCATTCAGGGCGGCCTACGTTCGGTCTGCGAAGGGCCGAGACAACCATCCCTGGAGCGATATTCGTATCACAAACTACCCGTCTCTTGATCCAGGGGTTTTGGGCCAGGTCCCGCTCGCCTATTCTCCGACAGAAACATGGCCACCATCTCGTGTTCGGTACAAAGAAACACGAAAGGACTCTGTATGCTAAGGACTGGCTCTACCGTTCGTGAGGTCTGAGCGCTATTCGCACATCTGATGCGCTCAGACCTGAGCTATCTAATGAATGGTAGAATATAGGAGATGCATTATACAATGTTATAAATATGTATTTTTATGCTGTTTTGTATGTTCAAGTTACACGTGGGATTCTGGGCACTGGGAGATAATTGAATCACTCCAACCGTTGAAACTTGTATCTCCAAGATGGGCGGGGACTATTTCAAATGATACAGTGTACTGTTATTGGTCAATTGTTTGTGTTGTCCCTGTATCCCATCAGGTCCAGTAGGGGATGTCCCTGGACCTGAGGTTTTTGCATAAATACCGATGCCCAGGTGCCATTAAAACCAGTTCTTGCTTGACCTTCAAATCGCAGCCTCGACTCGTTTTGTGGGGGAAAAGGATATCCTAGCTATACTGGAGCTAGTGGGATTGCTCTACACTTACAGGATTCGTATGGACTAACTACCGAAGCGGCGCTTCTCTCTCTCTACACTGTGGATCCAGGCTATCTAAGCGGTCCAGCTTCCAGCTAGCCTGGGGGTAACCGTAACAATAGTAATTTAAAGGAAAAATCTAAATTCTTCACGAAAAATATGATTTCTAATGAAATCAAAACATTTGAGACAATGGTAATGAAGGAAGTCAATACAATTAAAACAACCAACAAGTACCAGAAAATACTCTCACAAATAGAAACAAAAGCACTGAGGAATCTACAAAAAAATTATGAGATTATAATTAAACCGGTAGACAAAGGGGGTCATAGTTTTATCAAAGGGTAATTATGCAAAAAAAGCAGTTCTTTTACATAATTACCCTTTGATAGAACTATGACCCCCTTTGTCTGCCGGTTTAATTATAAGAGACTTCTCTTTGATGAAAATACTTATAAAAAATTACAATCCAACCCCAATCAAGAAATTGGAGAGAAATTTAAAAAGTAAATTAATGAAGGATTAGAAGGCAATAGCTGAACAGAAGCAAAAGTGAAATATTTATTTATTTTAAAGCCCCAAATCCCTATTTTTCACTACCTGCTGAAAATACATAAAGATTTATCCAGCCCTCCTGGCAAATCAATTATCTCAGGAGTAGATTGCATTTCATCAAGAGTATCTGGAGTATATGGATTCAATACTCCAACCAATAGTAATAGAGATCCCATCTTACATGAAAGATACAATTCATATATTACAAATACTTGGAGATATAAAATCGGAAGAGGATTATATACTCGTTACCTGTGCTGTAAGTTCTCATTATAGTATTATCCCACATAACAAAGGAATAAAGGGAGTGGAATATTTTTTAAGTCAATCTAATTTAAAAAAGGACAAATAGATTTTATTATTAGGGGTATTCTTTTAATTCTCACAAACAACTTTTTCTGGTTTAAGGATAGTTTCTTTTTACAGGTCAATTGAACATCGATGAGAACCAAGATCGCACCTAGTTACGCAAACTTACTTATGATGTACTGGGAAGAAGTGTTTATCCTTCATGGCACTTTTTATGCGAGCTTGGTAACATCGCCGTTTCATTGATGATATATTTTTTTATTTGGAAAGGAGATTAACCAAGTCTTACTAACTTTTTAAATCATTTGAATGCAAATGACTGGTGTACTGTCCTAACTTCTGTGCAGAGTAAAGAAGAAATTAATTTTTTGGATCTCACCATTTTCATAGAGAATAGCGCAATAGATAAAAAAAATTTTTTTAAAGAGGTTGACTCAAATAGTTACATAGTGCTCAAAAGTTGCCATTATGCTCCATGGCTAACAATTGCACCGAAAAGCCAATTTATGAGAATAAAAAAAGAATTGCACACAAGAGAACGACTTTATATGACAAACAAGTAACATTAAGGAACAGTTCATTGAAAAGGGTTATAAAGAAAATGATTTGCAAATAAGTATAGAGGAAATCAAAAAGATGGAAAGAAAAAAATTACTCTATTATAAGAAAATACATAATAAGGATTTTAAATTAGAAAACCTACATGTAAAATATTAATATCCATTAAAAATGGGGATATTTCAAATATAAAGAGCAGAGTAGAAATGAAGATTCTTAGTTGCAGGGGTGGAAGTTAAATTGGGCATATATGATTATATGAACAAATATTACGAAAATCATTTAGGTGAGCTGGCAACTTGCTAGTCTGGTGTGATTTTGGATTGTGAGGCTCTTGGCTTTTGTAATGGCAGAAAAAATTTACACTCATTTAGGAATTACAATCCCTCCTCCGGTGAAGAAATAGTGTGCTGAGATTTCTATTTCCACAGGTTTTATAAGCAATAAGAATGGCTATTCTGATGTTTGAAATGTCACTTCACCTATACTGTGTTATGCTAAAGTTGGCTAAGCTATATCATAAATCTTAAAGACACAATTGTAGATGCGAATATCCATTTTGCTCTATATCCTAACTGTTCATGTAAGGGTTAATTTGAATCAAGAATAAATTTGGAATTGTATCTCCAATTCTCAGAAATGTTATTGAAACATGATTTTGTTATGTTCCTGGAAAAAAGATATGACATGACATGACATGACATGACATGACATGGCATGACACGACATGACATGACATGACATGATAAGGATTCTGGAATGACCTTGTTAATTGTCCAAGATTTCTGTATTTGTAATCATCTGGGTTTTATCCAATATGCATACATTATGTAACATCGAATTATAACTAAAAACAGCTGTTTATAACTTGTGAAAAACAATGTCATTGTCACGCCCATATGGTCATTTTTCCCCCTCCCATCCTGCTATGAAAATGGGTTATAAATATAACTGACGTATGAATACAATTTGAATTGGTTATTGAACACGTCTCTGCTATTCATTTCCAATTTCCAGAGCTCTGTATGAGTTGGCAAATATCCATCATCCACAAAGGGCCCAGGCTGATTTTATCCCCAACAAATTGGTGTCAGAAGTTTGGGTGCAATTAGGAACGGAGTTGCAGGTAAGGGGGTCTTTAGTCCCTTGGGGACACAACTTCTGGAATTTAAGGGAATCATGACGGAGTATTTCTGTCGTGTGTCCTTAAGGGGTTGGGGACCTTTGCCTGCTTCTGCCATCCTCCCACACATTGCATTTCTTGTTTTAATGGGGGTTTTCACTATTTACATTTTTAAAGGGGATTTACACAGGATAATGTCTTTGGTAGACATGGTATTTTGTTAAGTCTTAGGTAGACTTCTATTACTCCACGGGTTGGAGGATTGCCTTTGGTAGGTAGTAATAGTTATTGTGCACATTTCCTCTTTGGTAAGAGGTTCACCTTTGGCCAGGTGTTAAAAATAATTTCAAGCCTTTGGTAGGCTGTGATGTACCTGTGATGTACACTTACATATGGGAGACGTCCCTAGATCCCTCTTTGGTAGAGGTTGCCTTTGGTAGGTTATAAAACAGATTTCCAGTCTTTGGTGGACTGTGGTATTTATTTAACGATTAAAAAAAAAAAAAGAAAAAAAAAGGGGGTTAAAAGGTATGATGGATGTTTGGCATTACTCCGGCTTGCTAATTTATGTGCTATTTTATGATGTGCAACGCTGATTTTAAGCATAAAGTCTTAATTGAGGGAATGTCAAATGTATATTTTCAGCGTTCCAAGACATGCTTCATATTGTGCTGTAAGCTAACTTGTAGTATTCCAGTACGTCACATGTTGTATGTGCTTTAAATTGTATGTATTCTGTAAATTGTTGTATGGGGTTGCTGAGATTTTATTGCTTGCGACCCAAACTGTGAAGAAGTGGGTTTGAAATTTTGGTCATGGAATGTAGGATCAGAAAACCATGGACAAAGGTTTTTACCTGTGTTGATATGACTTTTGGAAACTCAAATTGACCGGTCAAAGTTTTGCCATGCCTTTAACATGGAGTAGTATAAATATTTTGAGTCTTTGAGAGTTCTGACAAATGCAGGTGATACCATGTCTGTGTAATCTGGTCCAAATGTTCTATAAGCGTATAAGAGAGAAATTCCATTGACAGGTTTCATATGTCGCAATTGGTTAATGCAAGTGTTATCCAAATGTTTAAGTCAAACGTGTTATATGGCCTTACGGGATCCCTTCTTTAAAAATAAAAAATAAACCCTTTGGTACCAGAACGCTTAAATAAATCCAATACAAACTAAAATTGGTATACCTTACAATAATATGTTCTGAATACAGCTGTTAGAAGTTTATTCTGTGTGAATGATGATTGTCATAAATGTTTGTTTTGGGTACTCATTTTGAAGTGCGCAGTTTAATTGTCATGTATGTTAATGGGTATTTTGCTGTGTTATTTTAAATTATATTTGAATAAGTTTGTCTTAGTATTGATACAGATGAAAATGGCAGCGTAATAATCTATTAAATAACTGATTTATTATTGAATACTTGTCCAAGAGCAATATGAGTTGTAGTCTTAAGAAAGAAAAAAAAGAGGGAGGCTGTTTTTGTAAATTTTAGCTGATTTCCAAAATTCTGTTGCAATAATGGACTTCCTGCCAAAATTTGACTTTCCTGTCCAGTTGCCAGGTGCTCTGATCTAATCTTAAAGCAGTACTGCTTGCATTGTTTGCAGACATGCATAATGCACAAATATGAGAACCAAATTATGTCCGTCACATAGTGTGACATTTATTCATTTATTTTGGATTGAGTTAATTGCCTGTCCATGAATATGCTTTTTGTATTGGCATGTCTGCTGGATATCTGCTACATGTTTTCTGTGCTATAAGATGATGTGTGATATTACAATGAGTATGAAGAATATTTAAAGAATATTTGCATGTCATTAACGCAAGCCTTTAGTGTCTTTTTACAACAGATTAAAAAAACACTGATCAGCCAACAAGAAAGGGGCCCCTGGGAAAGAAAAAGAAAAAATATATCATTTGCTTTTCAAAATCGTGGATCCACGTTTCAGTATTATTAGGGGAGTATTTAGAGTTAACGCTACTTTTAAAGTGCATTGCATTATTTAAGAAAAGAAAAATGTGTTATGTTAGATGGTTATATAACAAGAAAAATTATGGATGTATAGGATAGGTTTTTTCCAAGATTAAGATTCATCTAGTATGCCTCATTGATTATAGGAAAATGATGAAATGGTATTTTTAATAGAGATCAGATAATTTCTTTTGAGGCAATTCTAAACTACTGTATTATATTTGTATTGGTATATTGAAAGCATTTTGCAGACCCAGAAGAGAATAAATAATATAATAATAATAAAAGGAACCATACTATGGGAAGAGGTCACCCTATTAAATTACTAAGGGGTTAAACTCATTTTGATAAGCATATAAAATTTAGTTTTTGTGGTTAGAATTTTTGATACTCAATTTGAACTCAATTGAAGTATTACAACCATATCCTTGCAGGTATAGGAAACAGCAATATGCAATATGATTTTAATATTTGCAATATATTAGTGTTCTGACAATGGAAAAGTTCCTAACCGCATGTCTGTATTACACCTATGACACAGACTGTCAGTATTGCAAACCCCATATGAAGACTCTGCTTTCACTGTTTATGTATACACCCCTAGACAACCGTGCTATACAAACACAATAAATCTTCAAAAGCTTATTAATATTATATCTGTGTGGTACACAAATAGGTGTACACAAAGAGGGGGTGTGAGTTAGGTCATCTCGACCTTCATATGGAATATGCTTCCTCCTTGTTCACTTTTGGTCAAACTGTTGGTCTGTGACTGGCCCTCTTTGAACTGAATTTCTTGGGAAGATTCATGAGAAAGATACAGCAGGTTGTTTTGGATATAAAGAAAGAGGGGAAAGTATGTTGTATCGGTCACAAAAGGATTGTGATCTTAAGCAGGCGAGACAAAGAAAGTTTGGAGGTGATAGATTGAATCAGAAAAGTTTTAGAGGCAGAGGTAGAGAATTTGATCAAAGGATTTAACTTTTGTAGAGATGGTAACTTCAGCACTGTTTTAATTGTGGGTAGCAGGGATTCACCCCAAGGTGCTTGTGTTCTCCTGGCCCAGCTGGCATTCAAGGACTCCCACCCTGGCAGGTTCCTCAATACCAACCACAACTTTCAAGCTATACCCACACCCAACAACCTCAGCCTAATACACAGATGGTTCATGTTTTTAATACTTTATATATAGTTTTGATAGATAAAACAGTATTAATGCTGGCTCTTAGAGGATGTACAAGCTGAAGTTGGGACCTAGACATTGTTTGCATAGGCTGTGCAATGTGAAATAACTAAAATAAAATAGGATAATAAGTATGCTTAGTCAATTTGTAAAGTGGTATAATAGAGGCATCTGCAATAAATTAAGTGGGTTTCCAAGACCTGACAAGTGAGAGCAACTTAATATAACATATGTCTACAGTTTGCTGTCCCTTCCTTATCAGAGGCCACTTGCAACACAGCAAGACAACTCTTCCTAAACCTGTATTAAACAAAGCACTTTAGAACAATAGTAATTTATTTTGTTTCTCCTATTTCATTCCTAGTTGTTCTGAAAAAAAAAATATATTGTTTAAGTGGGATAACTGTATGGAGGTTCCAACATGTATTAAAACATGATCACACACATCGGGATCTATAAAAGGTTTCGGTTTCCAAAGATGTTATCAGGGTCCACAAAATTTTATTAAAGTAATTAATTGAGATTATCAAATCAAGGTTTAAGTTTAAGAACAGCATTTTATTGGGAATTATACCAATATGTGTATGTTAGTGTTTTAGTACTCAACAAGCATTTATATAGAATGAGTGCTTCTCTCATCCATACAAGGCATTTTAAAGGGAAATTATGTATTAAAATTTTATAAAGGACATAAACAAAACTGAGAGACGTACATGTTACACTAGTTAAGAGTTTAACTTTAGTCTCTAATTTGAGTTTAGTCTAGATAATTAATTTATTGATGTCGTACTGATCCTTGTGTTTGTATGATTATAGAGACCGTACTGGAGTATTTGTGCTGCCTGATATTTGGGACTACACACCAATCTCTCTGGCTGACCTACCTGCCTACTTACCTTTTTTGCAATTAAATCTGTTTGGTCAAAATCCATGCTGGCCGAAGAAACTGAGATGCTTACTTATGAGGACATAAACTAACTTGGAAAGTCCTGAAGATGCAGTGCTGTCTAATGCCGCTATTTCTGTATTACCCTTTCAACAATTGGGGTGTTGCACAGAGTATTGTGGTGAACATCCAGCAAACAGAAGAATTAAGAACTATGTGGAAGCTGACATTGTCTTGTTGTCAGCCATATTGCTACCCTTAGCTATGTTATGGTGTCTAAGATTATGGAACAAAGTTTATGGTGTCTAAGATTCTTTATACTCCTTGAAAGACTTATAATATTTTTCTGGACTATGCTGGACTATTGAACTATTTTGTTATTTTTATTTTTGTAGAGTTAGCCGGAGAGAGAGGAAGTGTTAGCTTACTCAGGCATGGATGTACTATGTGTGTCATTGATGTATGTTGAGTGTACCAAGGATGGATTCCAAGGTATTAAGTGTGGATATGACTGGACTATCGAAATAGGGATTTGATTAGGAGGCATAGGACGCAAGGTCATGATTGGGATTATTGCTAGAATTGCAAACTGATTAGAAATGATCTTATGATTTAATATGTAAGTGGCCTTTTCAAACTAATCAAGAAGTGTTTCCCAATCCCGATACCTGAGCTATTTACTTACATAGTGCAGGTTTTATAAGTCACTAATGCTGTCAACGTGAGGGGATGACATGTTTACACAGTCATGGCCCTCACTTAGAATTTACCCAGATGTGCTTTTTTTCTCAATTATGAGTTTTTGCCACTGGGATTTTTGACCTGGCCCAAGTTCACTGGGTGGACTGGTAATCCAAGACCCTGGTCCAAAGAGGGGAAATAGATTTTATTCCCATTTTTGATTATATGTGTTTACGTTGTGAATTATAATAATAATATTCCCGTTGTTGGGAATAATACACTTTGCCTGTTTTGATCCAAGGCTCAAGTTGCAGATAATATGATGTGCAGTTAAGATGTCAGCTGTTTGAAATATTTAACTTGTACACTTAAAAGATGTGTACAACAGATGATTACAGAAGCTGAAAATCGACAGCTCGATCTCCTCTTAAAGGGAAAACCTACGGCATAGAGCAAATGGGGGAAATCGAGGTGAAGAAATAAGGAAAGTCCCGCAGACGTGATTAGCACGTCTGAATATACCTCCTTTCGTTTCTCTGCCGCAGGCCTCCCATGGATATTCCATAAGGTAGATCATGATATGATCTAAGAGGGGAATTGTAGATGCGAATATCCATTTTGCTCTATATCCTAACTGTTCATGTAAGGGTTAATTTGAATCAAGAATAAATTTGGAATTGTATCTCCAATTCTCAGAAATGTTATTGAAACATGATTTTGTTATGTTCCTGGAAAAAAGATATTTGCATGACATGACATGACATGGCATGACACGACATGACAAGGATTCTGGAATGACCTTGTTAATTGTCCAAGATTTCTGTATTTGTAATCATCTGGGTTTTATCCAATATGCATACATTATGTAACATCGAATTATAACTAAAAACAGCTGTTTATAACTTGTGAAAAACAATGTCATTGTCACGCCCATATGGTCATTTTTCCCCCTCCCATCCTGCTATGAAAATGGGTTATAAATATAACTGACGTATGAATACAATTTGAATTGGTTATTGAACACGTCTCTGCTATTCATTTCCAATTTCCAGAGCTCTGTATGAGTTGGCAAATATCCATGATCCACAAAGGGCCCAGGCTGATTTTATCCCCAACAACAATACGTCATACTTACCATTACAGTACAGACACATTTGTATATACTTTCTTTGTTCATTTTGCTTTTCTTTTTTTTATTCTGGTACAGTTACCCTAGTTAGGAGCAGCAACTCCCTAATGCATAATGGTACAGATTGTCATCTTAAACAGAATCTACTTTGCAAACCCAACCCAATTGGCTAACTACTTAGAGGTATACCATAATTCCAACACTAATCACCATGCCTACCACATTTGGTGGTTTGTATGTTCTATCAATGCTCCCAATGTACAACAAATGAATTAGCAAACTACTACAAAATATTTTACAGTAAAAGCAGCAATGAAAGTCATTGCCCATTAACCTAAATATGAAGCTACTAGTCTGGACATATTTTCCAAATATTATTATCAGGCAAATCTTCATTATTATGGAAACATTTCGACTCCCTATCTGACCAAATATTAAGACAAGGCAGGAGGCTTTATAGTTTGCTATACTCTGACACCTTCTTCTTTATTTGCTGGTGAACCTGCAACAATCTGGGATTTTATTGCCCTATTTGGATTGGGAGACACATTTGATTGTGACTGTGATTACTTTGTTTTGCATTTACTTAGTTATTGTGGCTTTTTGCATTGCTCTTGATGTCTTATTAGCCATTTCACTGTGTGTTGTTTTCTCACTTTCTTCCTTCCCACTTGGTCTTTTCGACTGAGATTTGCTGTCAGGTGAGCCCTATCTGTGCCACTGTTGCAGTTGAGCTGCGCCAATATTATTACCTTGCTCCTTGTGTGGCCATAGAAGGGTTGCTTAGCAGCTGCTGTCCCCTTGCAGCCTTATGCCCTCAGTGTGTCCTGCTGCAATTTATATTGCCTTATTGACTCTACTGTGTCCTTGAGGTTGCTACCTCATATTTATTAAGGGTTATCCCCTGGTGTCCGGCTTATCTCCCTAACTTATATTATCTGTGCCTTAGTTTGCACAATGGATAACAATCCATCCCAGAACGCTATTATAAAGATTTTGATTAATATGGAAGTCACTTAATCGATGTAAAAGGCAGTGGCTAGGCCTTACAGGGATTTTATGGTAAGGACCTCACTAGCCTCAGAGGGCAGGATTATGATTATGAAGGATCTCATGTGTCTTCTGCCTCAGAGAGAGAGACTTGGCAACCACAGAAGTGGCATTGGAAGGGTCTGTCTTCCCGACCTAATGTGGCAAAGACAAGGCTCGTGCCAAGACTAGACTCCACCTCAGAGGTTCATGAAGAGCATGTATTATCCTCACTCAAACAGGTTGGGAACAACTTAACATCTATGCAGGTGTTGGTCACATGGCAAGCAGATGCTGCTGGCTCAAATGAAGAGTCTCACGATGTTAAGTCACATTATGTACGCAAATCCATACTGGGTGAGTCCCAGTTACAAAACAATTGGAGTCAATTTTGCTTAGCTTCTGTGGTGGTCATCCCCATTTCTGCTCCAGCAGAAGCTATTCTGTCGCATATCTGCCAGCCCATATTTTATTCCTTTCCCACTCCATAATGGCCCAGAGTGATTATAGTTCTCCCTGCTAATCAGCTAAGGCTTGATGCAGGGTTAAACAGACACATTATTGGTGACAAGCGGATTTTTATACAATGTCTCCAACAGAGAGTCATTACAAACCCAATGAATTGCATAGTCCCGATGTCCTCGTTTCCGGGACATACTTTACTCATAGTAGGATAATGTAATTAGTGGTTCCCAACAGGATGTTATTACAGAACAAAAGGTATTGCACAATCCAAGTGCCCTGTTGTCTAGGACATACTTGCAACAAGATAATTTAATTAGCTTCCACACACCAGGGAGCCCAACATAATGTTACCCCAAAACTCAACTTTCCCATACAGTATGCCCAAACATTTGACATCCCTGTGTAGCACTTTTCCGCAAAGGTGACAGTGAGTGGTCTTGTACCAGTTCATAGTGACAAGGTAGTCCGTCACAAGTCCTATCTTCAGAATGGTGGAAGGCTGCCCTAGTGAGAGTGGATGCTAAGTTTGGGGACTCAGGTACTAAGGAACTGGGTCCCCAAGGCCCAGGTTCTCCTGTTTGGTAATCCTTTTGTGAATGAACTTCCTGAAAATTCAGATTATTTAAGCACCAAGGTTCTTCACCAGACTCTGGTGTCATATCCAAGGAGATGCAAACATTATATCCTTACCGAAATCAGGGAAACAACCGATGTTGTGCATCAACTACATCCTATATCACTGCTTAATGTGCACATGAAGCTTTATGCTAAGCTCTTGGTTGCACAATTAATATAATTTTACAGCAATTAATATAATTAGAGCAAGCAGGGTTTGTCTAGAGTGCCAATAGGGGATATCACAGGTGTCCTTTTATTAAAGTTTGTAATTCCGAAGTTCTGTAATTCCGCAGGTTCCTTGTGTACTACCCTCCTTTGTATCCTTGAAAATCTTAATGCAGATGTATTGCTGTAAAAGCACTCGTGATTGTATGCCTGTTTTCTTCCATTTGTGAACACAATAAAAACCTATTTAACACAAAGCTCTGTTATTCCATTATAAAAGGCATGACAATATACTAATGTAATCTGTATATATATATATATATATATATATATATATATATATATATATATATATAGTACTTTACAAGTACTGCCAAGCCTCAATAGCAAGCCAGTAACCAACCATACGCTGATAAGTTGCATCATGTAACGGAGTCTTACCTGATAGGGAGTCCAGCTCGCAGAGTTATACGCTCACCCTTGCAAAGTAGACACAGACCAGGGTGACCAGGTAAGACGCCACCTGGCCTGTGAGTCTGTGCACGGGGGCTTTCCAGGAAAAGTGCTCCAAGACTCAGTACAGCAGGGATAAGCAGAAGCGTGGTCAAGGGAAGCCAAAATCAGGGAAGCCAGAGGTCAGAGTAGTCCAGGAGGAAAGCCAAGGTCAGAAGCCGGAATAGACAAGAATCACTGGAACGCAGGTACAGAGTAACAGGAACCAAACAAGAGAACCAGAGTCAATGAACTGACACCCCTCCCAGGGTGAGGCAGGCTTTTATATCCTGTTAATTAGGATCAGATTCAGCTGGAGAGTTACTGACAGATCAGAGCCTTTGGTGAAGTCCAGCCCCCTGGTGCTGCAGGCAATACAAGAATAAACAGGGAGTTATCCAAAGTCCTGAAATGGCTCAGAGGAAGAACAGCAGGATATGGTCCAGAAGAACCACAGTTCAAATCCCCTATCGGGCGCTTCCAGAGCGACCACGTCTGGCAGACTGGATGTCACGGCGTGGACCGTGACAGTACCCCCCCGTCAAGAACGCCCTCCGGGCGTGAACAGGCTCTTCCTGGAAATGGTACTCTTCATCTTCGGTATCAGTATCACTAAGATAGTCTTTGTAATCAAAGTCTACAGACTGGGACTTTATGGTACCAGTTTCGGGTGCTATAGGGGAGGCATTTGCAGCTTTCAAAGCTTTTTCGAATATTTCTAGATCTTGTTTACACACAACTGTGCCATTTGAGGCATAGGTGCAGTCAGGAGGCAGAACTGTTTTGGCAAGGCAGGAAGTGGTGATGGTGCTTGCTTGAACAGAAGTGTTATCAGGAAGAGGTCCAAATGTTTCTAGAGCAGGAGGTGAAGTTTCCACAGAGGTACTGGTAACATTAACAGTATTAGTTTGGGTACCCTTTTGTGTCACAGGACGGGGACAGGGCTGGCAGTGTCCAGGCTGTCTTGCTGGGATGACAGGGTAAGTCCATATGGCACCAGACAGAAGGGGTCTTGTCCTAAGTGGACGAGTCGGGCAGAGCGATATGAAATGCCCTCTTTTCCCACAGTATAGACATAGACCATGGGCTCTCCTGCGGTCTTTTTCCTTCGGGGGCAATCTAGTTCTGGTAAAGCCAATCTCCATGGGTTCCTCCATGTCGACTGGAGTTTCACTGCTAGCGCGAGTGTAAACAGGGTTACAAGGCGGGTCCCTGAAAGTGGGTTCATGCTGCAACATGATGGGATTTTTGTATCCATAAAACAATTCCTCTTCTCTAGGCAACCGGGTTCTGCGAGGACCTGAAATGGGTTTGGAAGTTGCTTTTCTTGCTGCAAAACACTGAGAATCCATTGCGGACATAAACAACTCCCAGGAGTCCAAGACAGTACTTCTCTCCTGAAACTTCTGGTGTGCCCACGCCTTAATTCGCCCGGTACATAGGTTAATAGCGGAGCGTACTTTGATAAAGTCGGTGGCGTAGGTTCTCGATTTCAGGGCAAATAGTAGCTCACAATCCGTCTTGAACATCGGAAAAGCAGAACGGGAACCGTCGAACCTGTCGGGCATAAAGACATACGGTTCTGGGCATACATGTTCCGGGACTGCAAGCGTTGCTCCTTTCAATGCCAATGAATGTCTCTGCAATTCTGTAACATTCTGGGACAGGTTGGAGACTTGCTCGGCCAGGGAGGTGAGTAACTTGTATAACTCTGCAGACTCCATGGTCAGTTCATCTGTAACGGAGTCTTACCTGATAGGGAGTCCAGCTCGCAGAGTTATACGCTCACCCTTGCAAAGTAGACACAGACCAGGGTGACCAGGTAAGACGCCACCTGGCCTGTGAGTCTGTGCACGGGGGCTTTCCAGGAAAGGTGCTCCAAGACTCAGTACAGCAGGGATAAGCAGAAGCGTGGTCAAGGGAAGCCAAAATCAGGGAAGCCAGAGGTCAGAGTAGTCCAGGAGGAAAGCCAAGGTCAGAAGCCGGAATAGACAAGAATCACTGGAACGCAGGTACGGAGTAACAGGAACCAAACAAGGGAACCAGAGTCAATGAACTGACACCCCTCCCAGGGTGAGGCAGGCTTTTATATCCTGTTAATTAGGCATCAGATTCAGCTGGATAGTTACTGACAGATCAGAGCCTTTGGTGAAGTCCAGCCCCCTAGTGCTGCAGGCAATACAAGAATAAACAGGGAGTTATCCAAAGTCCTGAAATGGCTCAGAGGAAGAACAGCAGGATATGGTCCAGAAGAACCACAGTTCAAATCCCCCATCGGGCGCTTCCAGAGCGACCACGTCTGGCAGACTGGATGTCACGGCGTGGACCGTGACACATCAACAACGAAACAGCTGTCCATGGCTTTGCATCTCTTCCCGAGTTGTGTTTCAAAGCTGTTTTATACAGCAAACATAAACTCCAAGTAATCCATGTTTAAAATAGAATGAGGCAAAAATGTGTTGACCTAATTTGAATATGCCCACTCAGAATCCTTTGCGGTAGTAACATCACTGATAAGTTGTGATTTCTGTGGGAAAAGCAAATCTTACAGCTTGACTGGTGTACAGATCTTTTTTTAACATTGTACTGACTATATCAGGGATAGGCAACCTTCGGCACTCTAGATGTTGTGGACTACATCCCCCATAATGCTCTTACACCCATAATGCTGGGAAAGCATCATGGGAGGTATAGTCCAAAACATCTGGAGTGCCAAAGGTTGCCTATGCCTGGACTATAATATATATATATATATATATATATATATATATATATATACACACGCGCGCGCACACACACGCACACACACATACATGTTGATTAAAGGCAGATCAGAGCCATAATCCTTAAATATCACAAGATCAACCAATGAAGCATTTCAAAAAATCATCTTCTTCATTATAAAGTCATATAAAAAAAAATCAATCAGGCAGAGCATTCATTGATTCAAGCAAATGAACTATGGCAGAGGTTCTCAAATCAGTTCAATGACTGTCAA